ATATATATATATATATATATATATATATATATATATATATATATATATATATATATATATCTGAGAATAAACATAGATAGATTATCCCATCTCTTCCTTTACCGCGTTCCTTCCTTTTCGTTTTTCTCTTCCATTCGCCTCATTCCCTCTTCTTTCACCAACTTCCTCTCCCTTTCTCCTCTCCCTTCTCTACATCTCGTTACCGCCCTCTTCCTTCATTATGCTTCCCATCTTCCTATTTCAGTTATTTTCTTTCCATTTTTTTCTTGCTGATAACAATTGCACAAGTCTGATTTTCGATAAACTATGAATTTTCAAAAATTGCAAAAGTTAATAATATTGTTCGGGTTTTCCTACAACTACAATATTAAAAATAGAATATTTTCCCTTATTGAAATAATTTCATCAAAATTATACTTTTAAATGAGATCATGCACCATCTTCTCAAAATATGACTAGTTTTCGCATAACTTTTCGTGAAACAAATGCAATTTTAAAATCAAGATTTTCTCAAAAACGGTCCAAATTTTTCCTTTATTTTTTTTAACAGTACGAAACATTCTTGTAAAATTGCTACAGGTCTGATTTTCCTTGAACTCTCTGAATTTTGGAAAATTGCACAACATTTAAAATAAAATGAGAAAGTGGGCTGTTGTAGGGCTACTAATTCGTTGCGGATAATTAATGTACGTGTAGCATCAAGTTCTCTAACAGATATTTTGCTGTGCTCTCTTTCTCTTCTCTCTTCTCTCTCTTTCTCTCTTTCTCTCTCTTTCTCTCTTCTTTTCTCTCTCTCTTCTCTCTCTCTCTCTCTCTCTCTCTCTCTGTTTTCTCTCTCTGTGTCCCTATTTTCTGTTTAAATGAATAGCTTAATCTCACCTCCCAGACAACCATACAAACAACCTTCAGCCGGAAAATTGTGCCTGCGTTTGGCCATTTGCACAGAAATCCCTCCATCCAAACGAAAACAGCCGCGCGAGTGGTTTACACGCGGCGCGTTGGTGAGTACCCGGCGCAGCGCCGTGCTTCCTTCCGCGCTTCGCCCCCGCTGCCCCCGCCACCGCACTAGCCGCCTTGACTCACCCCACCGCCCCGTCATACGCGCCACTCCTGCCCCGCCACCACACCTGCCCCCACACCCACCACTGCCCCCGCCACGGCCACCACCACTGCCCCCGCCACGGCCACCCACCACTGCCTCCGCCTCCGCGCCCGCCTCCGCCTCCGCCTCCGCCTCCGCCTCCGCCTCCGCCTCGCCGCTCCGCCTCCGCCTCCGCCTCCGCCACCGCCACCGCCACCGCCACCGCCACCACTTCCAACCGTCACCGCCACCGCCACCGCCACCGCCATCTGCCACTGCTCGCCACCTCCGCCGCTACCGGCACAGCCACCGCCGCTGGAGCTTCCGAGTGCCAGCGCTTCCGCAATCAGGCGCGTCCCCATCCGCGGCAGCGGGTGGGCTGGGGCCCGGGCTCCTTCGCTCAACGCCCGCCCGGTGGCGCCCCGCCCCGCCCCGCCCGCCCGCGCCCCGCCCCGCCCCGCCCCGCGCCCCGCGCCCGGCCAAGCACGCCCCCGGAGGCGCTCTCTTACAGCTCTGCCCTCGCGCTTCTTGCGTCGCGCACCCGAGCAACACATTCGTCACGGTTTCGTGTCTTCTCTACATTTCTTACTAATCCTACAAACATTTTAATTCTGGTTTTACTCATTTTATTCAAA